TAAAGGAAGAGTTCTGTCCTTTTACCTTTATGTGTGTTCTAAGGATCAATCTTGAGTTGCCAGGTTTACAGGGCTATCATCTTAATCTACTGAGTCATCTTGCCAGCCCTCAATGAGTTTAATTTTCACATGTTCTATTTGGCTACTTTAAAAAATAACATTTGATAATTTCATTTTTCAACTTTCTTTACAATGTTTTCTTCAATAATAATTTTCTTTTCAACAATTTTCTTTTAAATAATTTTCAGTTCAATACTTATTATACTTCATCAAATAATTCTAATATATTTAATCCAAAGTGTGCTAGAGACATTTCAAAGCCTAAGGTTTTCTTTGCCTTTTTGTTGTTGTGTTGAATCTTAATAATAACTTGCGGTTTATAGAAGTCTGTATTTTTCCTGTGAACTGACATTGCCTGGAGTTGTAATACACAAAGTAGTCTAAGGACTAAAGCTACAAGTGCTTTCCTCTACCAAGGGCCTGAGTTGTTCCTGGTGGGAATAAAGGTACTGTTAGCATCCGAGGCCTTTGTTGGCTACAGTGGCACAGGTATCAGCTTAATGTAAGGCTTCTTTCTCTGTTGCTTGTTTGCTTGTGCTGCAGTGAAAGGCTCCTAAGAAGATCTCATCTCCAGACTAATGGGGGTAGAAATCATCCAACCTGTACAGATACAACATTTAATGGTAATATTGATTATCTGTCTAACTGGTTTATCCCTATTCAGTTTTGTTAAATACATTAAGATGCCATAGACAGGTTGAATATTTTACTGATAATATTAAGATTTCAAATTTGGGTACCCTTAAACTTTTCTAATTAGAGTCTTGAATGCTATTATTGAATCATATGCTATATCTAAAAGGGCAAAAGAAAACACATTTTTGGCATAGCTAAAATTCTCATTAGTACTATGGCAGCTTAAAATGCTCACATTCCAAATTTAGCTTAATGCATCCTACACACATGATTACAAGACTCAGTTTGAAGATAAAAATTTCTGGCTTAGAAAATGAAAGTATCATATCTACACCCCCACACACAGCTAAACTGGCTTAATTCTGTCCATGAAAATCTACAGCCTGTTTTTCACTCTGTGGTTCCTGAATAATCTGTCAGTAATTTGCTGACTCATACTGCAGCCAAGTGTTATGACAGAGTAGTCCTGGTTCTTTTCTACAGTGACACTAGAATGCATGCCTAGTCAAGAAATACCAAAACTGAGCATCTGTTTTGTTTTCTTAAGTGTTTATTATTATTTTTTACATTTATTTTATTTTATGTGTTATAAGTGTTTTGCCTACATGTATGTCTGTGCATCATTGTGTGTGCCTGCTGCTCAGGAAGGCCAGAAGAGGGTGTCAGATCCACTGGCAGTGGAGTTTCAGACAATTGTGAGCTGCCAGGTAGGTGCTGAGATTCAAACCTGGGTCCTCTTGAGGAGTGGTTAAGAGTTAGTACTCTAACCACAGAACCAATCCACCAACCTCTAAGCTTGAACATCTAATGTCTAATAATCTGCCTCAAACTTTGACTTACAAAATAATTCATGGAAGCTATAAAAAATACACTACAGAAAGAAAAAAATTCAGAATTAAAACAAAAATATAAATTGGTGTGACATTTTTTTGCAACATTACTAAGTGAGACAGGTTAATTTTATAGAGCATTTATGAAATTAGCAGAATTAGCCACTTCAGATAAAAGAAGACCTTTGAAATGGCTCCCCATTTCTACTGAAATGTCCACAGGCTTCACTACACAGATATAAATGGTCCAGGATCACTTTATATTCACCCAATTGGTTGCTCAATACTCACATGCTCTTGACAACAAGATGGGACGACTACAAACAACCTCCCAAGTAAGATGGCATTACAGAAACTACCTCTTAAGAGCATTCTTACTCTTAGACTATGGATGTTGATACACACTAATCATACCGCTGAGTCTTACCGTTAACCACCATATTGTTGAGCCTGGCACATAAACTGCAAATTCTCAATCAAATCTATAGTGTACCTCATTTTTCCAATCAAGAGCATCTCATTTCAGTGGTAGCATAACCATTTTCATTTGATAGCTAAGACTCTGAACGTCTATACAGCCTATGATCAATTTAGACAGAGCTTGGTGCTGTGATGCCAAGGCTTAAGATACTAATCAATACACTAGTCTTCCTTTGACAATGTTTGAATACATATTAAGGAGGCAGACCTTAATAATACAGCTTTCCAGAAGCTAGAAAGCTAATACTATTGTGAAAATGCTAAGTATATAGACACAAGGTAATGAACAATTTACATATGATTTGATCACCTTAAGTTGGTGTAGTATAAGTGCCAAAAATAATGAACAACTATGTATATATTAATTTAGTAAACAAATTAGCATCCATGTTATCACTAGAGTCATACTTTACATAGGTATTTGCCTATTTACCATTTCACAGTTCCCTGGGCTTCACATGATAAATATTTTTTTTCTATTTAATATTTTTGTAACCTAAGGCTGCTCTAAAACCATAAGCATTTAAAAGTAAAACTTAAAAATTCAAGAACCAAGATTTTAAAATTTGTCAGGAGCCATGGTGATCTTCCTGAGATGGCTTCCCCATGGAATGTGGACTGTGATGAATGAGTCTTTGCAGGGATGACATCTCAGGATTTGATTCCTGCTATTGATGTGCCTTTCTTGTCATTATTAACTTAATAAAATAATCCCTGAGCATTAGTCCACTGTACTGGAAAGATTTTCTACAGATCAATGAAGATCTACTGCCTTGTAGTGATGCTATACAGACAAATATATGATTTCTTAATTTTTAACGATTCTATAAGAATTCCTAAAATTATACTAGTAATTATTAAGTCCTTTATAATAAGGACTGCAATTAGGGCTCTGCAATATGAATGTTGCAACTGGGACTCTGCAAGTCTTTACAAGTCACAGGTTAATTGCTCCAGATAGAAGGCAGGTATTGATACAGACTCCTTTAGGCCCTAAAACCATTAATTAAGACCATAAAAGGGGTAAAAAATGATTTACTGTAGGTGCCAGGACAGAAGATAAAATATTGACTGGGTTTATCTATACAAAAGTTGAATGTTAACTTAGAAATAAAAATTATAATTTTAGACTCTTAATGAGCCTGTGGAGCTAGTGACAGATAAGGGATATCTAGGTAGATAACTAGTCTTTCTTTTTTTTTAAGATTTATTTATTATTTTATACATAGTGTTCTGCCTGCATGTATGTCTGCATGTCAGAAGAGGGCACCAGATTCCATTATATATAGTTGTGAGCCACCATATGGTTGCTGGGAATTGAACTCAGGACCTCTGGAAGAGCAGTCGGTGCTCTTAACTGCTGACCTATCTCTCCAGCAGATAACTAGTCTTAATGAGAACAAATGTAAACATCTTGAGAACATGTAAATGTGTTGTAACTCCTTATTCAATTTATGATTTGAATTTGTTTGAACTTTTTGTGAACTTGTGTTAAAAAAAAGAATGCTTGGAAAACCATGTGATCTTCTCCTTACAAAGTACAAAACTAGGGGCTGGAGAGAGGGCTCAGGGGCTAAGAGCACTGACTGCTTGTCCAGAGGTCCTGAGTTCAATTCCCAGCAAGCACATGGTGGCTCATACCCATCTGTAATGGAATCCAATGCCCTCTTCTGCTGTGTCTGAAGACAGTGACAGCTTACTCACATGCATACGATAAATAAATCTTGAAAGAAAAGTACAAAACTAGGAACGATGACTTAAAGGTAAGCAGAATGCAGAAAGAGAATTAAAAACTAAGACAGAGGGAAGATGCAAAACAGAATAGAAGCTTTACAGAGATGAGGAGATGGGCAGACAAAGAGCGGCAAAGAAGAGAGCAGAGCAGGAAGAGGAGAAAGCAGGCACGGTAAAGCTCAGAGCGGAAATGAGCTGAGGAGACAGAGGAGAGCAGGAAAGGGCTGCAGAGAGCAGGCAGGTTTCTTTTCACCAGGAGACAGGTTAATCCTTAACAGGTTTCCTTTTTCTGGTTCAAAGACAGGGCTTTTTTCTGACACACTTAGGTTTCTTTACATTTTTAGCAATAAAAGGGTAGATGCTTTTCTTTCTCTATGTAATAAAGGTTGAAGCTTAACATTCATGCAGAATGAGTGAGTTCCTTCTGCACTGGTGCTTGGATAATGACCTGCTCATGGAGGCTTTTACTCATTCTGTCCACCAATAATAAACATTTACATATGTAAGTATAGCTGTATGAGTGTTAACTATAGAAGTAGATGAGACAGGTAGTTGGGCCTGACAAGAATGGATGTATCAGCATGTGTATGAATGCACATGGGTTTATGCATATTTGCCTGTGTAAAAGTAAATGAAGGAAATCTTAGAGGTGCTTAACACAGTATATAAAGTATTGTGATGTATGAAGTTACAAATAAAACTACTTATGCCATGATAATGAAAACATATCATTTTTCCTTTAGCACATTCATAAATTGAATTGTAATTCATTATTCTAATAACAGTTATAAAAGCACTTCAAAATTAATGACTAAGATGATAATCAGAGATTCCTAGACTTGGAAAGAATACAAATTAGTAAAGGACAAGAGCGAGACTTTATAACATGAGACTAACTACAGCAAGGAATGTCATGGGGCAAACAAACAAAGGAATGGGTTCTGTAGCCGTAAATACGTTATAATGACTACTGCTTAAATTTTTTTATATATCAAAATATTTCAGATTACTTTCTAGTAAAAATTTTGAAAATGTTACAATTTATCATTTACATAGACAGAAATGGGAAATGTGTAGTGCATTTCAAAAATTAGACCACATCCAAGCTGACATTAACCTTGCAAAAAGAATTTACAGTTATCAACAAATACATTGCCTTTGGTATGTAAGTATACAATGTAAGGCAGTGACCCAAAGAAATGATTGCCTATAGTTCCTATTTTCTGCAAAAGATACAAAACTATCTTTATTTAAACATACCTTAACTATTTCTTCAATGAAACAAATGTGAGAAACAGGATCTCTCTTCTTGGTTAATACTTTTTGTAGATGTTGTACCTAAAGATGGAGAAGGAGAGAGAGGCAAAGTATATTTAATTAGGTACTTCTGACAAGAGGGTAAGGGAGGAGAGTGGAGCATGGTTCAACCTTTGCAAATACTACAGCCAGGCAGCAGAAGGACTGGCATGATCAGAGATCATAAAAGATCTGTCCCCAAAGACCTAGAATTAGCGGAAGTTTATCTATAAAGCTTTTTCCATGTTTTGAAATATTTACCTGTCCACAAGCAGCACAGATGTGATCCATAAGTTTTTCCATATTGGTCCAGAGGGAAGCCCGAAAAGCTGCTGTGTTTCCTGGAGTTGGCATGGTGGCTCGCCCAGGGCCTCCTGGTAAATAGTAACAGACATATGGGGGAAAAAAGAAAGTTCCTAGATATAACGGAATGTGCATTATTCTAAGAGCACAGAGAAGACAAAAACCAAGAAATCTCTTTTCTCATAAATAGTTTCTTATGTACAATATAAAAACAATCTATATGTGTAGTAAGAAAAGTAAATCTCATATAATCACATGTGTGGGATAATGATAACAAAATAAAATTAATGAAAATACTTTCCTTAAAATGGAAAGAGAATGAAATGTTTTACATATTCAAAACTAATTTTGTAAGAATGACAAGGATAGCCCCCAAACTCAATTCAAGTAAATATAGACTCAATAAAATTATCTTAGTATCAAATTAATAAAACAAACATGGTGCAAACAGCTCAAATAATTTTAAGTCACAGAACACTTACTTTGGTAGTATACAGATATGCTATGCGCAAACAGAACTGCAAGGAAATTATGAACACAACAGGTTTGCTATACACGGAGTCTGGTGTAACAGTCTTGTAGCTAGTTTAGGTACATATGCAAAAGCAGCAAGAGATCCTTGCATTATAGCATCCAAGTTGTTATTTCTAAAACATTCTTCCCAAACCCAACCAATCAAGCCATAGCTCACGGATTAAAAACCAGATTTCACAACTAGAATATGAAAATACAAGGTCCTGGTTAGGTCCCAGAGTCACGGGGCAAATGGCTGAGGTGCTATTAGCCAAAGCAGAGGTCTGCCAGCCTTCCCAGCACTTCTTACTCCACCCTCTACCCTACAACTCTCCCTCCCAGGGGCTAGGTTTCCATTTCCCTTCTCTTAGTGTTTCCCCTATATAACTCAGCCATTTTGACTACACTGGTCCTCTGGCCTCTTGGCTCAGGTCTGTCTAGGTTGGACGGTGTCTTTTCTCTTGTTCTCCCTCCCTCTCTCCTCTCACTGTCTGGTTTAGTCTGCCGGCCATGTTCAGCCTGGACTCTTCCTTCTGCCTGCTCTCCCTTGTGTCTACAATAGGAATCTTTCCCATACTTCACAGGTACTCATGTCTTCCTCCTTTTATCTTACTGTCTTCTCATTCAGTCCTGAGTCTTTCTTGTTTAACAAAGCTCATTCCTAAAGGGCAATTGGCTTTAGCCTCCCTCCTTTCTCAAACCAGTCATCCTCCATCTTTTCGCTATAAGTTTTTTCAAAACAAGTTGGAAAAAAAATCAGGCCAAAATAACACTGGTAACAATGGATTTTTACAACTGATCAAAAAATAAGTTATGAATAAATAAGGAGAAACAGGCATTTAAAAAGTATAAAGGGGTTGCCAAAATGACTCAGAAAGCAAAGGTGCTTGTGGCCAAGCATGGCCTGCTTTCTTCCACAAGCAAGGACTATCTGCCAGGGGCAGCAACCAGCTGACCTCTCCTATATCAACCACCAATCAAAAATGTCCCATAGACACGTCCGCAGGGCAACCTGAGGGAGGCAATTCCTCACCTGAGCCCTGCTTTTCAAGTGACTCTATGTGTGTCTAGTCAACAAAGACCTAAATAGCAAACTAACAGAGGCATTTTCTCAAAATATTTTCAAAGCATTGTTTAATTTTTAAAGATTTTTATAGTGTATATGACATACATGCAAAAAATATATACATGCCATGGTGTGCATGTGCAGAAGTCAGAAGAAAACTCTGTAGTTGGTTCTTCCTTCCACCTTCATGCAGGTTCCAGAGATTTTAATCAGATATGAGGCTTTTGAGACAAGCACTTTAACCATTGAGACAACTCACTAGCCTGATTTTCCAATCTTTTTCAACTGTATTTAATCTGTTCTATAGATGAAAGAACCAAATCTAAGGTCATATATATAGTAAGTACAGGTGCTAAAATAAAGTACTGGTTTGTGAAAGAGAGGAGAAGAGTGGCTTCAGGTCTAATGGCAAGTATGAGTCAACTGTGATTTCCATTGATTAGCTCTCTTGTTAAGAATTAAAATAACATAGGCTTAATGCTAAAAGTCTCTTGAAAACAGATCCAGAGTGAGACTCTCTATAAACTGTCTATGACTTTTTGTTAGAATTAAGATCTACAGGCAAGGATCTGTCAAGGAAGAAGTAAAGAGTATAATAAAGAAGAAAAGTTAAAAAGACAAACCAAAATAAAGTAATGTTTACATAAGAATTGACCCTCAATTGTGTGAGAGACTGGGAGTAAAGTGAGAAGAAAGGGTGAGGGAAGTAAAAAAAAAAATACTAGATTTAAATATATATATATATATATATATATATATATATATATATATATATATATATATATCAATCAACAGCTTTACTGGAACAACACAAAGTTCTTGACTGGCCCAAAATTTGAGGAAAGATATGCTTCCAAGATAATCAGAAACAAAGGCACTCTTGAATTGAACACAGATAATGGAGGAGGAGAGTAAACAGTGACAAATACAGCTGAGAAAGGAATTAATAAAGAAACAGCAGAAGAATCGCTGAGTTCTACAGTGCCAAAGGCGTGGTCCCCAGTGTAGCAGTGTTCTGAGGACATGACTGGATCATGTAGAATCTCATCTCCCCAATGGATCACTCCATTGGCTGAGTCAAACCTTTATTAGGCTATTAGAAAGTCGTAGAAATCATAGGAGGTAAGGCCTGATGGGACAAAGAGAGTCCCTGCACTATGGCTACAAAGGGTGTGTTTTGTTCTCAGCTCCTTCCTCTTCCTGTTTCCACACTTCCAGGAAGTAAGCAAATCTGCCAGTCCTACACTCCTCTCTATGATGCTCAACCTTACAATGGTCCAGAAGCAACAGAGCCAAGTGAGCATGCCCTGACCTCCTGAAACGTGCCCAATCTAAGCGCTTCCTCCTTCTACTGCTTTTCTCAGTTCTTTTTGTTGCAGCAGTGGAGAGCAGTCTGCATGTTAGAGTCATTATAGAAAACATTCTCTCTCATAAACAGCATAAAGGGGATGGTAAAAAACACTATAAAATTCAAAAGAACAAAGGTAGAAATACAGGAAAATGTAAGAAACAGGCCAGAAGAAATCACCTAAAATGAAGGAAAATAAAATATTAAAATAACTACAGAAAAATACTAAACATGGAAAACAAACATCTGATAGATACACATTCCAGGTGTGCGGAGCAAATAGACACAAAAATAATCACAACTGAACTCAAACTCACAAAGAGTTACTGACAAAGCACCCAAGTCCACTGGAACAAATTATCTATGTAGGAGGGACTCTCTTCTCCCAGGTCTGACTTTTTACCTAGGGGAACTGCAGCAAACAGAACATGCTTCCTTTCTCTCCCTTGGCCTTCCTGTGTGAAGAGCACTGACTGACTTAGGACAGAAGGTGAGTCTCTTGCTGTCAGCCACTGAATCTTTATGTACACAAAGAGAGACTTTTGACTCACACACTCTCAGTGTAAGGGAGGCAGGCCCGGCTAGCATGGAGCACAAACCATTCTGACCTGATGTGACGATGTCATTACTTTAGATCATGTTTATTTGCTAAACTTCTACCTCAATTATTTTTTTAGTTCAGTAAGGAAGAAAAACATTACATATTGAGGGAAAAAAAGATTCAAAATTCTAAGAAAAAAAGAAGTATAAATGAAAACTTAAATCTTGCCTAAACCATTTAAACACAAGGATGAAAGATGCTTATTAACCATATGAGGACTCCAAAAACATAGTGTCTCTGAAACAATTTTTAAAAAAATCAATTGTATTGTGAAAGCACAATTCCTTCCACAGAAGGAAGAGATGAATGTAGAAATGGATAACTCATATTAAAAAGACCAGAGAGGAGTCTCAATTCAAGATGGTAGTAGCTGTCATCAATCATAGGACTATGGGCACTCTGAGGAGCCTGAGAGACCCACAGAGGCTTAGAGGGGAGGAATGAGCCTTTAGAACATGAAATATCTCCAGAATACCTTTTTTTAAAGGACAGGCCTTATGGGAAGATGCTTTTAGGAACTGATTTCATGGAATTGGAAAAAAATGGCTGAAGAGAAAAACATGGAGAGCAGTAGAACTAGATATAAAGTGGGGGCGGCAGGTACAGGAGCGCAGCCACATCAGACAAAGAGCACGCCATGGCTGAATCCAGCAGGCCAGCTACTGTTGCCATGCTGGAAATCTACTTGCCCTGCTCCCCCTGCTGGGTAAGGATAATGCAGGGCTGCAGGGCTGCCCTAGGGGCTACAAACACAGTGGTCATCCCCAGGGTAGCTTTGTGGCAGCTGGCAGGGGCTAGGTGGTGAACAGCAGTCTGGAGCCTGAGCAGGTCCTGCACCTAGACATGCTGCCAAACTGCAGAATCACCTGGCTCTGAGCAATGAGATATCAGAGATGAATAAGAGCTCATTTTCTGAGGCCATGTTGATGTCCATGGTCCCTGGTGCAGTCAAAAGCCTTGTGGAAGGAAGTCCATAATCCCTGCTGCCACCAGCTGCTACAACCAAGGAAGCTTCATTTATAGTGGCATTCATGACTGAAGATTTATAACTGAGAATGAGACATTGAAAGCAATCTCCTGTCCCACTGAGAAAACACAGAAACAAACAAACAAACAAAACATTACAGACAGGAAACTATTGAAGAGAGTCCTTAAAAACTGTGACAAAGATGTTGAAGTCTGGTTCTTCATAGTTGATGGTTAGGGAAGGGGGAAGGGGTTAACTGGGTGATTGGCCATGTTTCAATGATTATTGTATTGTTAACAAAAATTGGACAAATGAAAATCAAATCACTTTAAAATATAATAAAGAAAATATAAAAACTAGATTCAAGAATAATAAAAATATTTCAACATATAAAAAAATATAAAAGGGCTGACAAGCTGGCTCAGTGAGTTAACGAGCTTGCCACTGAGCCTAATGACTTGAGTTTGATCCCCAGGTCTCACATGCTAGAAGGCCAGAGCCAAGCTACTCCTTTAAGTTGTCCTCTGGCATCCACATACTGTCCCATGTGTGTACCACATATGCATATAGATGCATATACAATATAAACAGATGTAAATATATAAAAATCAGCATATGGAATAATGATGAGAATACTAGCCACCAAGTTTAAGAAATACAACAGAAATTGAAATAAAATTCTGTTTCATTTTTCCTAATCTCGTTTCCTTTATTCACTTTCCAGAGCAAAGGGCCTCATAAATTTAGACTGTCATCCCACACCAATTTTAAGTTTTTAGTATTTATGTATATATCCAAAACAATACATAACATAGTCTGTCACACTTTGGTGCTTTAGACATCATAACGAACATACCTTCTATAACTTCCTTATATTCTGTTTTGAGCATTATCTACACTGCTATATGTTTTTAAAGCTTACCCAGTTTTCCATTAGAACACAAGTTATTTTCACTGCTATATACATAGTGCAATAACAATTCTTGGACCAGTGAGGTAGGCAGATGGGTAAAAGCATTTGCTACACAGCCTGGTGACCTGATTTCAATCCCTGGAACAAATATAAAGGTGGAGGGAGAGAAGAACTCTATGAAGTTTCCAGATTTCCAAATGACTCAGACCCTCGTGTATCAGGCACTTACACTAAACACTAACATTTTAAAACTAACGCTCATGCAGCACATTTCTCTACGACAGATCCTTACAGAGGAGTTCACATTATAAGGAACACACAAGTTTAACCTGTGAAATCAAACTGGTAAGGTTGAAGGACTGAACTATCTCCCTCAACCACAATATGAATACTAGGTTTTTGCTCTCCTCTGATAGTTGTGTCTCAGACTTTGGCTAACTAATTAGAAGAGAATAGTATCTTCCTTAATTTGCATGTTCCTCATTATTGGTTGTCTTTGTTAGCCACAAAACACCATGATCAAAAGTAAGTTGGGAAGGGAGGGGTTTATTTGTCTTACACTTCCATATTGCTCTATCACTGAAGGAAGTCAGGACAGGAGCTCACACATGGAAGAACCTGGAGGCAGGAGCTGATGCAGAGGCCATGAAGGATGCTGCTTACTGGCTTTTTCTCCATGGTGTACTCAGTCTGCTTTTTTATAGAACCTAGGACTACCAGTCCAAGGTTGGCACCACCCACAATGGCTGGGACCTCTCCCACCAATCACTAAGAAAATCCCTGAGAGCTGGATCTTATGGAGGTAATTTCTCAGTTTAGACTGTCTCCTCTTAAACAACTCTCGTTCGCGTGTAAAGTTGGCATACGACTAGCAGCACACTAGTACATCTCCTAAAAAGATACTGAAGAGTCTTTCATACGTTTATTGTACATGTGGTCCTGCATCATCAGTACTCATGATTACACAGCTACCTTACAGGCTTGCTTTCAAACTTGAGTTTTGTTTTTTTCCTGAGACATGATCTCACCATGTAGCTCAGGCAGGTCTCAAACACATTTTTTTCCTTCTTTCTTCCTGCCTCAGTCTCATTGGTGACAGATCTGAAGTTATCCATCACTATCTTTATGCATTTTTCTCTTCTTTATATATTCAAAGTAACATTTTTAAATATTGTTTTATTTCATTTTAAATTCTATAGATCTTAAATTTGATCTTAAAGTCTGTAGAAAATTTAAAATTAATGTATAAAAATCTTTCCCCTAAACCACATACAAAAAAATTTATTGTGATACTGCACCACACTCCAATGCATCAGTAAGTATTTAAAATAATTCTATGGAACTTCAATATTCTGAAAAAATATGAATACAATTTAATATAAGAAATAAAGATAATACTCGTTCTTTTAAAAGCTGAGAAACTGGCGCTCAGGGTTCCTACATTCATCATGGTACTCACTTCTCAACAGATGGTAATAGGCAGCTTTAAAGCCCTTCATTCTCTATTAAAGAGGCCGACACTAAGATTGACTGCATGTGAATAATTGCTTTCATTTTCCTCAGTTCTTGATAACACAAGAGGGAAGGAGATTAAACTGCTGTTGGAAATTTAAACATGAGATCAAACTTTGTGAAAATAATTGCTAGCAGAACTTCAGAGGAAAATCTCCTTTGGCAATTTCTTTTCAACAAACTCCTTTGGTAATGGTATGAATAGGGACCTATTCAGAGGCCAAAGTGAACCTTTAAAATTTTTATTGAGACTTAAGATTCTTTTATTTCTTTTTATTAGTGCTACTTATTCAGGAGCTATGAATGCAGTTTTGCTTAAGGTCATGTATAAAAATGAAATTTGTATTATCTATGCATTAAAAGTGTCATTAATCTATACATTTTGTTTATTCTTCACGACAACTCTGTGATTGTTAGAGTGTCTTTAATAAAAATATGGGAGGAAATGATACAGATACAGATCTGTATCAGATAATACAGATAATAATGTGGGAAATTTTTCTGTAGATTGACAAAATAAAGTAGTAGAGTCAAAGAAAGAGAAGATATATTTTTTTGATTTTTAAACTAAAGCTAATAGGACAACTGCATGATGGAAAAGTAATTCAGAAAAGAATAAACTGACAAGCTGCCAGATCTGAGCAAAAGCCAGACTGGATGGGACCTCAGGACAAGTTGAGCACTCTTTTCTTCTAGACTAGGGAGAGAAGAACACATGTAAGAAATGGAGGACAAAAGTGCAGGAAGAAGGCAGGAAGGAAGAGACACAAACACATACATACAACAACAAAGGCTACCCTAAGAATGGCAGGAACAGTAATCAGAGCACTAAGTTACGGCTGTGACCCCTACAGTTTACCTCCCAACAGTAGTTTTCCCTGCGTTTATCATAGTCGCCATGCTCCCAAGGGACTGATTGATTTTGACAGCTTAAGCCATTATTGCCTTTTAGTATGAAAATTATAAAGTCCTGAAAGCTAAAGTAGAAACAGCATTTCTTAAAAATGCTCCCTTCCCAATAAAAAGTACATGTCGGGATAAAGACTTTAGGAAGAAAAATATGTTCTGTTCTTATTTGCATCTGTTTCTTCCCAACTAAATGGTGCCACAGCTTAGACATCTTTTCTAGAGGTTCTGATCAAGTTGTAAAATATAATTTTCCCCTCATTTTGGCTACTAAAAAAGTGAGTCATTAGATTGCTTTGAAACATGAATATTGCATACACTATTCAAAGGACTTCTTGGTTATAAATAAATAAATGAGCTAAATATAAATCATATTCATACCTCGCACAGCTGACTGGGAAGGCTGAGTCAAAACTTTGACGTCCAATGTGTTGTTGATACTGTCTTCCAAAGCAGCACAATAACCATCCACGACATTGGTAACAGTATCCTTCAATGTCCCGAGATTATGGAAAACCTGAAGAGCTGTTCCAACCTGAGTTGGATTCTGAAATGCATAGAGAGTGAAAAACAGATATAAATATCAATCTTTAAAAAACACACACTTTGACACTTTAGCAGTTACTAGTGTATTTCCAGATTAACAAAGGGAAGGGAAAAGACAGTTTGGGACAAATTTTATTTATATGTATATACTATTGTGTTTATGTATAAATTTTATTTATATGTATATACATATCTTCTTGGTAAAACATTTAATTTGAAATATTTTTTCTTGTTCAATGAAAAAATAATCTCAAACCCATTTTCTATTATTTTTTTAAGATCTACTGTAATTTTCTCTATTTCTACCCTCTCTCTGCTTTCTGTGTGTCTCTGTGTGTGTGTGTGTGTGCATGCATGTATATGCAAATGTAGGATATAGTATTATTTTACCCAGTAGGTTTCAGAAATAATTTTTTGTCTTATTTATTAGTTTGGAATAACACCTAGTGAAATAATTTAATTTCCAGATAGTGAGCCATGATGAATGATAAATGAAGGCATTTGAATGAAGAACTTTAGTTATTGTGTCCATATATATACATATATATAATCATATGTGCATAGATAAACACACATATATACATATACTATATATGTGGAGAGACAGAGACAGAGAGAGACCTAGAGACAGACATACAGGGAGACAGAGAGACAGAGGAGGGGGAGCGTTAAGTGTAGAGCAAGCAAGACAAGATATACCAATGAGCTCTGAGTGTGATTAGACACCAGCCTTAGTGAATAAGGTGCAAGAGCAATGAAGATAACTTCCTGCCATCAGCCCTTGGGCTTCCACATTATACATGCACCTATGCACTAGTGCACCATACACAGGTACACCTACGTACATGTGTGCACCCACACTCAAACACACAGGAAGTCTAGATCTTAAATTCAAATACTGTCAGCACCTCTGAACTGTCTGTGCTTCTCTAAATTGTGTCACTCCAATTATTATCACATTGTAACGTTTGATATGAGATTAATTCTACCTGTTTGTCACCTTGATGTCAGTAGAATTACACAGTAGACATGATTTTGTTTCTGGCTTCCTTTTTTTCAGTGTCTTCTGTGTGGAATGCTTCTATGTTGTTTTACATAACAGAAGATGATTCATGTTTATTGCTGTCTAGCATTGCAGTGTAAGAATTTTCTTCCATTTGCCCATTCTATTGTGGACATAAACATCAATTGTTCTCAATTGTAGGCATTATAATTAATATGGAATAAACATTAACACTCAGCACTTCCTGAACAAATATGCACGGATGCTTCTGCTGTGTGAAAGCAGAGTGGAATCACAAAGCACTCAAGAGCTTTGTGTTTAGAGACATGGTAGACTTCCCAAAGACAGTGCAAAACTGCAGATGTTCTATCACCTCACAACTATGACAACCATGCCTCTAACCTTGCTTTCACTAAGCACTATGGTTTTATTTGACTTTTCACTGATGACAATGGGCTGTCTTGTCATGAATGGTATGCATTTGGAACTTTGGATGTGCATATGAAATATATATTCCTTGTTGCACATTGTCATAACTGGTTGTTTTATTGTCATGTATATACCTGTACAAACTGCTTGTATATTTTAGGTGTAATCACTCTGATAATGTTTCTATTGTAAAATGCCCTCTGTTATTGAAATCGTTTAAAAATAATAAATTCTTAATATGAAATATTCTTTCATTAAATGAAAAGAAATTCTTAATCAGAATGCACTCTCTATGGCTAGCACTTTGGACATTCTGTTTTTAATATTTCTTACTATTTAAGAGTTCCATACATCTACAGTCATCACAACCACTACTTTCCTCCCCTCCTCCCAGTGCTCGCCACCCGCACTCCCTCCCAGTCTCATGTCCTCTTTACTACTTTGTTACTAAGGAGCCTTAGTGCAAACAGCACTACTCATGTGCACATGGGGCATGCACATTCTGCAAGCAGCCACATCGTCCAGTGAAAGTGAGTTCTCCTCTCAGCCAACTGCTAACAGCTGCTCTGATGGAGATGAGCAGAAGTGCTAAGAAAGTCTCAAGCACTGGAGTATTATCTGACGGCATGGGACAGTGGAGGTAGAGAAAATAACCCTAACCCTAACTCTAAGTAATACTGAAAACAATCTTAAAAACAGTTAAAATGTTTCATTTTATGTATTTACTGTAATTTAAAATATAGTGTACTTGTTAGTTTGTGGTAATCAAAATTTTTATTGAAAAATCAAAAAGAGGGTGTTGAATGTATTTAGAATAAAATTATAAAAAGTGAATATAATATATATTTGGTTAGTAAGTAAAAGGTTTTTAGCATACATTAATGAAGATATGTTTCATTTAAAATTATAACAGAAAATCTATTTTTCATGATTAGATATAAAAATATCATAAAATTAATTTTTATATAATGTGAGATAGGGTTCAATTTCAGGAGTTTTCTACTTGAATATTAATTGATCCAACAGTGTTTACTCATAAATGTGCATAGCAAATGAAAACTCTATCCCACATCCTCCCTTTCAAAAGTAAGCTATGCAGTAGGCCGAGTACCCATGTGCGTGTGATCCTCAATTTTATACTACTTCAAAAATTAGTCATCTAAATTATTAGTATAGCTTTAAAGGTTTTTACTGTCCAGTTCTTTACTTCAATTTGGTGTGTGTTATTCTTGGTTCACGATACTTACATATGCATTTCAAAATTGACCTGATAATTTTTGTTTTTAAAAAAACATGGAATTGTGTCAGTAAAATTAGAATTGACATCTGTATCATGATGAGATCTCCAACTCATGAACATAGTACTTCTATTTATTTATTCATGTCTTCATTAATTTCTTTTAATAATGTTAGCATTCTGTCTAAACTCCACCCCCACAGTTACCTGGCAACAGACAGGTAGGCCTGGCCCACTATCAAAGGGGCTGCTTGCCTCTCCTCTCTCTTGATCTCTTGCTCTTTTGATCACTCTGTCCCCTCACCACTTCCCCCTTCCCTCCCCCCTCTCTGCACGAGGTCATGGCTGGCCTCTAATTCTTTCCTCTTCCTCCTCCCCTCCCCTCCTCTCCCTCCCCCCCTCTGTCTTTCTCTGTCTCTACTACCCTCCTTGCTCCCCTCCCCATGCCTTGAATAAACTCTACTCTATACTATACCATCATGCGGTTGGTCCCAGAGGGAGAAGAGCTGCCTCAGCATGGGCCTGCTGAGACATCCCCTTAACCCATACCTCTCCACAGCTCCACAGAACATATTCTCTTTATCTTTTATCTTTTTATAAACACATCAAATAATTTGATGTTTTCTATCAAGAGAGTGCATATATTTTCTCACTTATAAAACTATGAATTAAATAGTATTAACATAGTAACTTTAAATTTCTGGTGTGCTATTAACATATTGCAATTAATTTTTATATATTAAAATTGTAATCTAACAAGTTTTCTGTAATAAAATTTAATACCTTAATCTATCAGCTGTTTTAGTTTTTTATATGCACAATGATGGTATCTCTTAATAATTTTATTCCTTCTTAATTTTCCTTTGTTTAATAGTTTTTCATAACGGAGATCTTCAGCTGATGTTGAGTAGAATACGCTAGAGCAGAATCTTTGTGTCGTTTCAAACCATTGATCAAATGAAGTTTTATTTTTAGTCCACTGGAAGTATTTTTAATCATAGATTAATTTTATTTCTGAGCCCACTGAGATGGTAGTCTTCCCTTTATTTAAGAAATCACATTGTACGTAAGAAGGAAAGCCATCGTAGTCAATGTGGATTGTCGGTTCCTATCTCCCTGCTCATATCTGCTAGCACCATGCTCAGCACTTTACAGCAGTGGTAAAGAGATCAGTTTTCTTCCTTACAATGCCCTTACTTTGGTATCAGCACTATCATGTCTTCATAAGAGAAGTGGATATATTCCTCCCTTTCCTCAGTTCTTGGATAGGGTTTATATAATGTTGGCTTATTTGTTCCTTAGGTTTTACAAGAGTCTAACCCTTTCTCAGCAGGAAGGTTTATAAGCTTCTCAGTAGTTTTCTCAGCAGGAAGGTTTACAAGCTTGGTAACAGAAGTACAACTATTTAGACCCAATCTTTCTAGCCTTATTTTGTAGGTTGTTTTCCTAGAATTTTAACAACTTTTATCTAAATTTTTTAAACTATTGGTGAAAAGTTAAACCTAATGTTTCTCACAATCTTTTTATATTTATTGGATCTGCTATCAGGCCATTAGTTCTTGCATCTTTTCTTTGCTCCTCAACAGTTCTTGGGATGTTTATCAATATAATTTATTGGTCTTACCAAATAACTACTTGTACATTTTGTTGACTCTATTATTAGCTTTCCTTAATCCTATTCCTGAGTAAAGCAGATAGCATAAGTCAAACTCTGATATTAACTATCTAAAACTAAAGGCAAATTACATGACCTCTTTAAGACATTTTCCTTGTCTGCATAATACAGAAGAAACAACACCAGCCCAATAGGTAAATCAAAGGAGGTAGGGCAGAGGCAGAAGCAGAGTGTCTTTGTGTGTCAGTATTGTCTTGAACTCAGTCAATCCTGCTGTCTTTGCCTCCTGAGAAGCTGAGATTATGTATGCATGCCAGAGGAACACCTGAAATAACGTGATGCGGTGGTAACATGCTACGGTGGAAAGAGTGTGGGCCTTGAAAGTAGATGGTCTTGTGCTGGAAGTAACTGAAGCTCTGTAGTAGATAAGCTGTGTGGCCTTGGGCAAACTACTCCATCACTCATCAAATGTTAGGTATGGTATTCCTATAATTCACACTTGAGAGTGCTAAGGGAAGGTTCTGTTTATTTTGATCACAACTATACTCCCAGCAACTAACCAATGTGCTAACAGATAGATGTTGGGAATTACCATCTGAATATGTGAGAGAACAGGTACATTTCTACAACTGGCTCTGTTATTGCACCCTCAGACGCTTGCTTGAAGTCTGAGGTAACACATATTTCTTGAATTAACAGACTATAGGACAAATATAA